CCACCCTGCTCTGCCCGCTATGGCTTCTCTTAGTGTACTCACGTCCGATCATGAGGGCTGTCCGATCCAGTTCGATACGTAGCTCGACGACTTGCAGCTGTACCTACTGAGCGATTCTAGAGACAGTGTTTTGTTGTTTGACCACACGTCTGGAGCCTCTCTCGCCCCTCCTGCCACAGCTGACAGTGCGACTCGCTCACTGTGGCTTACCCGTCACGCTGCTGCTCGCTTAGTCGTTCGCAACCATCTGCCGTTAGCCGAACGCGCTCACTTCGGACAGCACAAGACTGCTAAATCCATGTACGACGCTGTAGTCGCTCGTTACTCTTCCCCTCCCACTGGTGCTCTAAGCCGTCTCCTATTGCCCAGGGCTGATTTTATCAGGGTAATTACCCTGATTTCAGGGTGATTTTAGACTTGTCACTTTGTGGACCCTGAGAAATCAGGTTTTTCACATTTTGGTCCCTGATCCATTCAGAGTATTGCTTTAGCGGACCCTGAAATTTTGTGTACACTCTCAGTGTAGGGTTTTCACGGACCCTGTCAATACAGAGTACGAGGCCTGTGGACCCTGAATGCGATGTTATCGGGGCGAAGTTTCTCGGAAATTTCCTCCTTATAACCCCTTCGCATTGATTTCAGTGCCCCCCACGTGCGTAATCCTCCTCCCCCCCCCCCCCCCCCTCACTTTATCGAGACGAAGTTTCTTCGAAGTTTCGTTCCCATACACCCACCATCTAGATCGGGCGAATCTGTAATGTCAGATTTTAGGTTGCTGTTATTGGTCGAAATAGATGTGCTCTAACACAGCGCCAGTCACATCGCCACAGTGCCAGTCACATCGCCACAGTGCCAGTCACTTCTGTCCTCGGTAAAGAAAGAGCACGTTACTACGACCCTGATTTTCAATTCTCGACCCTGAACATTCAGAGTTCACTACTTCTCAACCCTGAGCAATCAGGGTGCTGTTTTTCTGGAAAATGTGCCTTCAGGGTAAAAAAAAAAATTTAAAGGTTGAAATCAGGGTACCTAAATTTGAAAAGTCAGCCCTGCTATTGCCCTACCTGTTTTCCGAGCTGTCCGCCTTTGTCACGGTAGAGGACCTCGTTCATTCTCGTTCGTTATTCTGACATATATGTCTATATTGTACTAGGCTGTAGTGGGTTTATCCTTAGGGGGTACAGTAATTCTCTCGACCTTGTACTTGTACCCCCCCCTTTGACCTAATGCACACCATTCCTAGTTCTAACAACTGCTTCAGCTTGGGCTCTGGAGTTGTTTCGTGGAGGTCCACGCATTCCTCCTCGGTCTCGACCTCTACTGCTGAGGCTAAGATCTACGCTGGAGCCATGGCTGCACAGGAGCTGCGTTGGTTGACTTTCTTGCTCACCGACCTTGGTGAGCGGCCGCGCTCTGCACCGACCTTGTTCACTGACAACAAGGCGTCGATTCTCCTCTGTCGAGAGCCGTGACTAGGGAGCAGAGTGAAGCACATCAATGTCAGGTACTTTCTTCTGCGAGAGTTGCAGAGGCGTGGACAAGCTCGCTTCGACTTTGTGGAGTTCGAGGCCAAGACTGCAGACATCTTCACCAAGTCCCTTCCGCCTTGTGACCACCAGAGGTGTTGTGTGCAGTTAGGTCTCGTTGACACAGGTTCTCGTCTTGCGTAGTCTTGAGTTCTCTGCTTGCTTTGTGTGTACGCTTTATATATACCTCTATGAACTCTTGAACTGGCTTTGTGGCTCTTTTGCTTGTGCTCAGAGTGTGTGGTGACATTGTGACCCACCCTGAGCTTTGTTGCTTTGTGACTGATCTTGTGACCGTACGTTGTTGGTTTTGCTTGACACCCCTCACTTAGGCTATGGGGGTGTGTCAGATGTTATAGTCTTAGTGATGTGTGTCATATGGGGTACAATAGGTAGGGTTAGGTTTATGTACCCCAACCAACCTTAGTGAAATCATCATTTCGTTCTTGACATACTCTTATGGTACCTCAACAACACTGAACCCCGGGGCCATCATACCACATCCTAAGGGACGAAGCCCGGGGCCATCATACCACATCCTTAACCGTATCAGCTACCACCTTAAAACCATCTTCAGACTCATTCTCTACTCCATCTCTCCCATCCCCCTCCTGGTTCAACCGGAAAACTCTCGACTTGACAAACCCACAGCCGCGCAGCTCGATGCGGTCACCATACACATCCATGATCCCGTGTGCTTCCGAGCCCTCTGGCGCCTCCAGAATGGCTTCGAGAGTCAGGAAGTGCTTTCCGCCCATGCACACATAGCCGCCCGGATGGTAGTGGCCTGTGGGGGGTGATGAAGGAAAGGGAGCAAGGGAAGAAAGGAAGGAAGAGAGTGGACTGAAGGAGGGAGCGGATGGTAGTGCCCATGCACACATAGCCGCCCGGATGGTAGTGGCCTGTGGAGGGCAGTAAGGTTAAGCGAACAGAGGAAAGAAGGCAGAGAGGGGATGAGTGGATTGAGAGAGGAGCAGGTGTGCTGAGAGGGATGGTTTGTGAGTTGCTGCCCGTGCACACATAGCCGCCCGGATGGTAGTGGCCTGTGCAGTAAACGCATTTCCAAGAAGAAAGAAGGGCCACGGAGGGAAGTAAGAACGAGAGGAAGGGTTAACATGCCTGTGGAGGGGAGGGAACACCTGAGTGGTAGTGGCCTGGGCAGGGCAATAAGGGAAAGACTTTTGAGACGTCTCAAAAGTGGCCTGGGCAGGGCAATAAGGGAAAGGGAATGGAGGAAGGCAGTGATGAAGGGCAGTCACAGATGGGCATTGCACAGACCAAGATGAGGTGAGGATGCGTGTATGAGGAAGTGATAATCCGCATGCATCAGAACAGAAGGGCAGTTGAGGGGCGGTGCAAGTGGGGCGGTGCAAGTGGGGCGGTGCAAGTGGGGCGGTGCAAGTGGGACGGTGCTGTTAGAATTCCCATGTTCTAGCATGCTAACACTTGTGACTGTACACCAATTGTGGTGTACAGTTGGGTTGGGACCACACCCAACTTTGGGTGTAGTCTTGCATTTTGGGGTGCCAATCCAACCCAATTGTGGTGGAGCCCCCAAATGCAACCCTATGGACCATAGGTTGCTCCACTTCACAAAGTGAGGCCAACCCAACCCAATGGGCCATAGGTTGCTCCACTTTCCAAGTGTGGTCAACCCAACCCATTGGGCCATAGGTTGGCCCACTCCCCCAATCCCACCTCCCTCCTTTCTCTTCCAACCTTCTCTTCCCAAACCTATGTATGCTTGCCAATTTTCATAATCAAGTTAATGGTTCAATTTCTTTTCTTCACATGGTTTAGAGCACAATTCCTCAACGGTCTTCCCTTCCCCCTCCAGTTTTGCTTTCCCAAGGGCCCACCACACGCTTCCCTCACGCCGCGACCTTTCCGTCGCTGTCGTCCCCCCCTCTCCCCCTCCCCATCTCGGCACTTTCTCGCCGCGACCTCCCCGCCGCCGCGTCCCGCGGATTTCGCCGCCGCGTCCCGCTGATTTCGCGGATTTCGCCGCCTGCCCCCCCAGCCCCCAACCTTTTCGTCGCGGATTTCCCGCGGAATTCCCCGCCGCCGTGCATTCCCCGCGGATTTCCTGCGGAGTTCCGTCGCCGCCTGCCCTTCCAGCCGCCGCGACCACGCCGTCGCCGCCTGTCTCTTCCGCCGCCGCGACCCTCTCGTCGCCGCCTGCCCGTCCCGCCGCCGCGACCACGTCGTCGCTGCCTGCCGTACCAGCCGCCGCGGCTTCGCGTCGTCGCCTGCCCCGCCGCCGCGACCCTTTTTTTTTTTTTTTTTTTCTTTCTTCATCGCCGCCTGCACATCCCCTCGCCGCAACTCCGTCGCCGCCTGCGCACTCCAACCGCCGCGACTGCCCTGTCGTCGCCTACACGTCTCGCCGCCGTGACTGCACTGCCGTCGCCCGACATTTCGATTGCCGTAACCGCGCTGCCATCGCCCGCGGTTTCCGCCGCCGTGACCACATCGTCGCCGCCTGCCCATCCCGCCTCCGCTACCCTTCGCCCCCCTGCATATTTCACCGCCACTACTCCTTCCCCTCTCCGCCTCTCCCCCTCTCCCTCCGCCTCTCCCTCTCCCCTCTCCTTGCAGCTACAACCGCGGCAACAGCAGCAGCAGCAGCAGCAGCCGCAGAGCAGCGGCAGCAGCAGCAGGCTCCTGCTGTTTCTGTTTTGCTTTCTTGCTCTGTAACGCGTATGCCAGTCAGCTCGTCGGCACTTTCTAGAGATTCGCCCCGCATCCCCACAAAAGCCAGTTTACGGTACACGTTCCACTGCTGCTCCCTGCTTGCCCACCCCCGTCCCCCCCCCGGCCCCCGTCCATACCACTCTGCTCTGTTCCGAAGGGGGGACCCCCTCACTTCTCTCGAGTCGCTCGACTGTCGATTCGACGCGCTGCCCGGTACAGCTCGGCTGGCGGGCCCACAACGGCTGATGTGTCACCACCATCTGGCGAGGCCCTAGGTTCCTCCTCGACTCTACTCTCTCCTCTCTCCTCTTTCGAGGCTCTCGAGTCTCGAGTCTCGAGTCTCTCCACTCCACCCGTTGCACCGATTTTCCCGCTTCTGCGCTGCACTCTGCTTCCTCTGACTCCCCCATCTGCCTCCTCTTCCGCCTGCTCATCTGCCTGCCTCGTCACATTCAACACGACGGCACGTGCATGGCCCTAGGCTCCGCCACAGTATCTCCTGCCCGCCTCGCTTTCCCACCTCGCGCATTCCGCCGTCTCTCGTCCGTCGATTCTCCCACACGCCTGCCGATCCAGCCGTTTTCCTTCGCTGCTCCGCCAGTCGTTGCGGCGCGGGGCCGCGCACTAGAGTCGCGCGCAGGATTAGAGTCGCGCGCAGGACGCAAACCCGCGCTGCGCAAGAGCGCCCGCGCGGCCGTCGCACCCGCCGCGCGAGCTCGCGCGCGCAAGCAGATCTCCCCAGCGGATTCCGCGCGTGCAGAGAGACGGACGCGCGCGGCAATGGCGGATATCCAATACGCGGACAAGGACACGCGCACATGTACGTTGGCGCCTGCCACTCCACTAGGGAGGCACCAAACAAGCTGGCAGCAGCAGCAGTGGCACCTTCCCATGCCCCACGTTCCTGTCTCACCACACCTCCGCGTCTATTCCCCTCTGCCCTCCTTCCCTCTCCTCCTGTTTCCTCACAACCCCTCAGCATCGGACGGCAGGAAGCAGCGGTATAGGGAGGCACCGGGCAAGCTGGCAGCAGCAGTGGCGGCGTTTAATGAAGCGCAGCCGCCCCTGAGGTACGGCGTCGCCCCTAAGGTACGGTGTCGCTCCTGAGGTACGGTGTCGCCCCTGAGGTACGGTGTCGCCCCTGATGTACGGTGTCGCCCCTGAGGTGCGTTGTCGCCCCTGAGGTACGTCATCGCTCCAGTTTCGTGCGGGTTTTTGGTATTGAATTTTTTGGGTTGCGTGCTGGTTGAGGAGCAGAGCGCGGTATAGGAAGAAGAGAGCAGAGCAGAGAGCAGAGCAGTGAGCAGGGCAGAGAGCAGAGCAGAGAGCAGGGCAGAGAGCAGGGCAGAGAGCAGAGGAGAGCAAAGGAAAGCAGAACACAGAGCAGGGCAGAGAGCAGAGCAGAGATCAGGGCAGAGAGCAGAGCAGAGCAAAGGAAAACAGAACACAGTGCAGGGCAGAGAGCAGAGCAGAGAGCAGGGCAGAGAGCAGAGCAGAGCAAAAGAAAGCAGAACACAGAGCAGGGCAGAGAGCAGAGCAGAGAGCAGGGCAGAGAGCAGAGCAGAGAGCAGAGCAGAGAGCAGAGCAGAGAGCAGGGCAGTGAGCAGAGCAGAGCAAAGGAAAGCAGAACACAGAGCAGGGCAGAGAGCAGAGCAAAGGAGAGGATGGCTACCCCCTGTGTGCCCCTCCTCCCCTCTTTCCCCCATCCCCCACTCTCTCCTCCATGCTCGCGCAGTGCAGTGGTTGTGCTTGCTGGGCGACTCAGTGCATGGACGGGAGGGGCTCATAGAAGAACACAACATTCACTGAGTCCAGTGGTCACCCAGCACAACCACTGGCTCATGAGGAGCCCCGCATGGACGGAAGAGACTTCTACTTCTGAGGCGCCTCAAAACTAGACCACTGGCTCATGAGGAGCCCCGCATGGACGGGAGAGACTTCTACTTTTGAGGCGCCTCAAAACTAGACCACTGGCTCATGAGGAGCCCCGCATGGACGGGAGAGACTCAGATTAGCACACCCACTCCCTCTCCAACCGCACACTCCCCCCTCCCCACTCTTCTCCTTTCTCCCTTCCCTAATCTGCCCCCCCCTCCCCCGTGTGTGCAGTGCAGTGGTGACGCTGGGCGATATAGTGGACGGGAGGGACACGGAGGAGGCCACTGTGGAGGACTTTAGAGTTGTGCTGGGGGAACTGGCCAAGGTGCGGTGGGGCGCGTGGGGGGTGTGGCTGTGAAACAGGTTGCACTCTGTTCCACCCATCACACCACAAAAAGGAGCTACTGCTGTCTGTCCCTCCCTCCCTCCCTCCCTCTCCCTCCCTCCCTCCCTCCCTCCCTCCCTCCCTCCCTCGCCTCCTTCCCTCCCTCTCCCTCCCTCCCTCCCTCTCCCTTTCTCTCCCTCCCTCCCTCCCTCTCCCTCCCTCCCTCCCTCTCCCTCCCTCCCTCCCTCCCTCCCTCCCTCCCTCCCTCCCTCCCTCCCTCCCTCCCTCCCTCCCTCCCTCCCTCCCTCCCTCCCTCCCTCCCTCCCTCCCTCTCCCTCCCTCCCTCTCCCTCCCTCCCTCCCTCGCCTCCTTCCCTCCCTCTCCCTCCCTCCCTCCCTCTCCCTTTCTCTCCCTCCCTCCCTCCCTCTCCCTCCCTCCCTCCCTCCCTCCCTCCCTCCCTCCCTCCCTCCCTCCCTCCCTCCCTCCCTCCCTCCCTCCCTCCCTCCCTCCCTCCCTCCCTCCCTCCCTCCCTCCCTCCCTCCCTCCCTCCCTCCCTCCCTCCCTCCCTCCCTCCCTCTCCCTCCCTCTCCCTCCCTCCCTCCCTCCCCCTCCCTCCCCCCCTCCCTCCCTCCCTCCCTCCCTCACTCCCTCACCACAACTGTACCCACTGCCCACCATCCCGTGCACCTCCAAGCGGCGCCTTGCAGCCTTCCCATCTCGCCCAGCCTTATGCTCATGCCATGTGTGACTATGCTTGCTTATGCCCCCACACCACACCCGCCCACATCCTCCTGCCTGCCTCTCCCCCATCTCGCACCCACCCAGCTGCACGTGTCCCCACTGCACCACGCCATTGGCAATGCAACTGCTGCGTCTACGTACCAACCAGGCTCTTCCAACCAACCTCTTGCTCCCTCCCACACCTGCCCACATCCTCCCTGCAGCTGCACGTGCCCCCACTGCACCACGCCATTGGCAACCATTGTCTCTACGTGCCTAATGTCCTCATTCTCTCCTTTCTCTCTGCTCCCTCTCACACCCTTCCTTCCTTCCCCCCATCCTCCCCCCAGCTGCACGTGTCCACAGTGCACCACGCCATCGGCAACCACTGCCACTACATGCCAACCGGTGTCTTCCAACCTTCAAGTGCACACTCCCTCTCCTTCCTCGCTGCTCCCTCCCATACCCTCCCATACCCTCCCATCCTCCCCCCAGCTGCACGTGTCCCCAGCCATCGGCAGCCACTGTCCTTACATGCCAATGGCCTCTTCCAACCCCCAAGTGCATACTCCTTCTCCTTCCTTCTCGCTGCTCCCTCCCACTCCCTCCCACTCCCTCCCACCTCCCCCCATCCTCCCTGCAGCTGCACGTGTCCCCACTGCACCACGCCATCGGCAGCCACTGTCCTTACATGCCAATGGCCTCTTCCAACCCCCAAATGCATACTCCCACTCCTTCCTCTGTGCTCGCTCCCACACCTTCCAGCTGCACGTGTCTCCAGTGCATCACGCCATCGGCAACCACTGTCTCTACGTGCCGCGCTCCACTCTCCTGCCCAGTCTGAATCTCGCCTCCCCTTTCTACTCCGCTGCCCTCCCCAACCACTGGAAACTCGTATGCGCCCCTCCCCGCCTCTGCTGCCCCTCCCCGCCTCTGCTGCCCCTCCCCGCCTCTGCTGCCCCTCCCCGCCTCTGCTGCCCCTCCCCGCCTCTGCTGCCCCTCCCCGCCTCTGCTGCCCCTCCCCGCCTCTGCTGCCCCTCCCCGCCTCTGCTGCCCCTCCCCGCCTCTGCTGCCCCTCCCCGCCTCTGCTGCCCCTCCCCGCCTCTGCTGCCCCTCCCCGCCTCTGCTGCCCCTCCCCGCCTCTGCTGCCCCTCCCCGCCTCTGCTGCCCCTCCCCGCCTCTGCTGCCCCTCCCCGCCTCTGCTGCCCCTCCCCGCCTCTGCTGCCCCTCCCCGCCTCTGCTGCCCCTCCCCGCCTCTGCTACCCCTCCCCGCCTCTGCTACCCCTCCCCGCCTCTGCTGCCCTACCACTGCTACTCCCCCTCACCACCCCTGTTGTATGTCTTGACTTATCTTGAATTTCTTGAAGCTGTTTTTTTCTTTCGGTTGCCCTTCCCTTCCCTTCGCCCTTCCCCCCTCCTCCCTCTCTACCATCCTCCTTCACTCCCGCATCCTCCCCTCCATGTCAGTCAGCGAGGTGACTTTTGAGTCGACTCAAAAGTCCCCTCCTGCCTCTCTACCATCCTCCTTCACTACCGCCTGCATCCTCCCCTCCATGTCAGTCAGCTCGTGCTCAATACCTTTTCATCATTATTCGTTCTTGATAATTCTAAAACGACGCACACCACCCTCCGTGCTCCCTATTTCCCTATGCCCCACCTCCCATTCTCTCTCTCTAACCACCTAACCTTTTCCCCCCTCCCCCCCATTCGTACTCCCCCTATGTCTTTGTCAATTCTATTCTCCCTCCCTCCCCCACCCCCCTCCCCTCGCACTTGTGTCCGATCGTGCTCAACTCCATGGAAGTCAGTCTCAAGTGGCCCTGCCACTGCCTCTGCTCCCCTGTCTCTGCCCGCCATTCTCTCCCCTGCCACCCTCCCCCCTACCCCCCCCACACCCCATCAGCTCATGCTCGACTCATTGGACGTCAGCCTAAAGTGGCCCTGCGGCTCGCTCCCCTCCTCTCTGTCTCTTCCCTCCATCCCCCACCCTTCTCCCTGACTCATCTGCCACCACTCCGTCTCCCCACTCCCCCTATCCCCCCCCCACACCCCATCAGCTCGTGCTCGACTCCATGGACGTCAGTCTCAAGTGGCCCTGCGACTCTGAGAACTATCAGGTGCGCGCTGCAGCGACTTGAGTCAGGAAGGTTTAGGGTAGAGGGGGAAAGGGGGAGAGAGGGCAAAGGGCAGAGAGGGCAAGGGGTGGAGAGGGCAAGGGGTGGAGAGGGCAAGGGGTGGAGAGGGCAAGGGGTGGAGAGGGCAAGGGGCAAAGAGGGCAAGGGGCAGAGAGGGCAAGGGGCAGAGAGGGCAAGGGGCAGAGAGGGCAAGGGGCAGAGAGGGCAAGGGGCAGAGAGGGCAAGGGGCAGAGAGGGCAAGGGGCGGAGAGGGCAAGGGGCGGAGAGGGCAAGGGGCGGAGAGGGCAAGGGGCGGAGAGGGCAAGGGGCGGAGAGGGCAAGGGGCGGAGAGGGCAAGGGGCGGAGAGGGCAAGGGGCGGAGAGGGCAAGGGGCGGAGAGGGCAAGGGGCAGAGAGGGCAAGGGGCGGAGAGGGCAAGGGGCGGAGAGGGCAAGGGGCGGAGAGGGCAAGGGGCGGAGAGGGCAAGGGGCAGAGAGGGCAAGGGACAGAGAGGGCAAGGGACGGAGAGGGCAAGGGGCGGAGAGGGCAAGGGGCGGAGAGGGCAAGGGGCGGAGAGGGCAAGGGGCGGAGAGGGCAAGGGGCGGAGAAGGCAAGGGGCGGAGAGGGCAAGGGGCGGAGAGGGCAAGGGGTGGTGCAATTCTGTTCACTGGATCGAATACCTTGTTGGAGACTGTAAGAGCCATGGTATTGTCGCTCACCCACTTCCCAGCTCTTTCTCTCCCCCTGCAAGCCATTTATTCCCTCTCCTCCCCACGAGACGAGCTCATGTGCGAATGTAAGACCGGGAAGTCTTACAGTGATTTACTCCCCCCTCCCATCCCCACCTTCCGAGACCACCCCCACCTCCAGGGCATGCACAAAGCTGACTTTTGAGTCAACTCAAAAGTCAACCCCCACCTTCCCAGACCCCCCCTGCAGAGCATGCGCAAATCTCCAAAAATGAGGGATTGAGAATCCATATAGGACATCCTCTGTAATCCCTCTCCTCCCAACCAATCCCTTTCCCCTTTCCCCTTTCCCCTTCCCCTTCTTCCTTTCCCTTCGCCTTCCCCTTTCCACTATCGGTCTCCTTCCCCCTCCCTCTCCCTCTCTTCCTTCGTCCTCTCTTTTCCGCCCGCCCCACTCCCCCCCGCCAGGCAGCAGAGGCGTTTCTGGAGGCGCGGAGGGCGGAGGGGCAGGAGGGGGGGCACCTGGAGCTGTCTCCTTTCACAATTCTCCCCCACCAGCCTCACGACTTCTTCCCCTTTCTGCTCCTCATCTCCACTTCTTTCCCCCTCCCCCTTCCCTCCCCTGTCTCCTTTTCTCTCCGCTCTCCCCCCCCCTGCCCTCTCTCCCGGCCAGGCAGCAGAGGCGTTTCTGGAGGCGCGGAGGGCGGAGGGGCAGGAAGGGGGTCACCTGGTGCCGTGGAATGGCGCAGTGGGGCGTGCTCAGATGGCGTGGCTGGTAGAGGAGCTGAGACACGCGGAGGAGTGAGTGTTTGGGGGATGGATTCAGCGGGAAAGGGGATATGGAACGGTTCAGTGGGGCGCACACAGATGGAAAGTGCTACTAGAGGAGCTGAGACATGCGGAGGAGTGAGTGGGAGGAAAGGGGGGGGGAAGGGAAGGGGGAAGGGTGGGGGAGTGGTTGGGGGAAGGAGATTGGGAACTGGAAGGGAATGAGTGAGAGGAAGAGAGGGTGGCTCTTCCTTTGTGCATGCACACGTGTGTGTGGCCCTTCCCACGTACACATGTACTTGCATGTATACATGTGTACTATGGCCTGCTGTTGCTGCATGTTTGCACATCTGTTCATGTGTGTTGGTGTGTGTTGGTGTGCGGTGGTGTGCGGTGGTGTGCGGTGGTGTGCGGTTGTGTGCGCACAGGCATGGAGAGAGGGTGGTGGTGGCACTGCATCACCCCGTTGCAGTGGGGTCAGCTCCCGATGACCTGCTAGCATGGAACCACCAAGAGGTGTGTGTCAAATTCAAACCCAGGGCGGAACAACAGTAGCAAGCAGATTTGATCCGAGCAGCAGGGTCAATAGGAACGACAGGCACCGCCCTGCCCATGTGTGATGTACACACACACACTCCTTGGCCTTGCATCATCCCATCGCAGTCGCTTCAGCTCCTGAGGACTTATTGGGCTGAAACCATGCACAGGTTTGTGTGTCCGTTTTGAGAGCCGCCTCAAAAGTCACCATGTGGCAGTGGGGTCGGCTCCTGGTAATGCCCTACTGTGCATGCCCTGGATCCGACCCCACTGCCATGCACAAGTGTGCGCCGCACCCTGCTCACTTGAGTTTGTGCCACCCCACTCACCCCACTCACCCTGTTCACCCTGCTCAGTTGGGTGTTTCCCTATTCCTGCGTTGAGTCTATCTCTGGTTCACATTTCACAGATGCATTTGTCAATACTCTCATCTTTCCCCCATTATCCCCCTCTTTTTCCCAAAACCCATCCCCCTGCCTTCACCCACTCTCACCCCTCCTCCACCGTCTGCCCCGCCCTTCTCCTCCCATATCGTCCATCCATGCATTGCATCAGATCTGTGACGTGCTTGTCAACTCCCCGCCAGTCGCCCTCGTGCTAGCAGGTGACCTCACTTGCACCGCCCCACTTGCACCGCCCCACTTGCACCGCCCCACTTGCACCGCCCCACTTGCACCGCCCCACTTGCACCGCCCCACTTGCACCGCCCCACTTGCACCGCCCCACTTGCACCGCCCCACTTGCACCCCCCCACTTGCACCGCCCCACTTGCACCGCCCCACTTGCACCGCCCCACTTGCACCGCCCCACTTGCACCGCCCCACTTGCACCGCCCCACTTGCACCGCCCCACTTGCACCGCCCGACTTGCACCGCCCCACTTACACCGCCCCACTTGCACCGCCCCACTTGCACCACCCCACTTGCACCTGTGAAGAAAGGAAATTGAAGCATTAACTTGATTATGAAAATTGGCAAGCATACATAGGTTTGGGAAGAGAAGGTTGGAAGGGAAAGGAGGGAGGTGGGATTGGGGGAGTGGGCCAACCTATGGCCTATTGGGTTGGGTTGACCACACTTGGAAAGTGGGGCAACATATGGCCCATTGGGTTGGGTTGGCCTCACTTTGTGAAGTGGGGCAACCTATGGCCCATAGGGTTGCATTTGGGGGCTCCACCACAATTGGGTTGGATAGGCACCCCAAAATGCAAGACTACACCCAAAGTTGGGTGTAGTCCCAACCCAACTGTACACCACAATTGGTGTACAGTCACAAGTGTTAGCATGCTAGAACATGGGAATTCTAACACAACCCCTTAGCATGCGAACACAGGAAGGGAGCAACCCCTGAATCAAGGGGCGCCCGAGCGAGCAAGGCCGATGAGGCGGAGGAGAGCAGAGTGCGCAGGGCGAAGGAGAGCCTTGGTGAAGATGTCGGCCAAGTTGGCCTCGGCAGCAATCTTGCGGACAGCAAGAAGGCCGCGCTGGACGAGTTCAGGGATGAAGAAGTAGCGGAGTTCGATGTGCTTGGAGCGGGCGTGGTAGACAGGGTCCTGAGTGAGGTGGATGGTGCTGGCGTTGTCACACCAGAGGGTGGGGCAGGGCTGAGGAGCGCCAAGCTCAGCAAGAAGAAAGCAGAGCCAGCGGGACTCCTGGGCGGCCATGGTGCCAGCGTAGAGCTCAGCCTCGCAGGAGGAGAGGGAAACGGAGGAGGAGCGTGTGGAGCGCCAGCTAACAAGGCCACTGCCGAGGGTGAAGCCGTAGCCTTGAGAGGAGCGGCGGTCGGGCTGCGAGTCGGCCCAGGAGGAGTCGCTAAAGCCCGAAAGGAGGGGAGGGGAGGAGCCACCAAGAGTGAGGGCGTGGTCCTTGGTGCCGCGAAGGTAGCGGAGGACCCTCTTAGCAGCTTTCCAGTGCACCTCGGTGTGGCGACCAGTGCCAACAAAACGAGCAAGCACGCTGATGGGGTAGGCGAGGTCGGGACGGGTTCACATCATAGCGTACATCAGCGACCCAACGAGCTCAGCATAAGGGTGAGAGGAGGAGGAGGGCGAGGTGGGTGGAGCAAGCTGGTGGCCGAAAGGGAGGGGGGTGGCTATGGGACTGGAGTGAGTCATCTCGAATTTCTCCAAGATCTGGCCGATGTAATGAGACTGGGAGAGGGTGACGGTCGCGAGTGATAGCCATGCCAAGGTAGTGGGTGAGGTCGCCTAGGTCCTTGCACTTGAGGCGCTGCTGCACCTGCTGCTTCATCTGCGCCATGTCAGTCTTAGAATCAGCGAGCAGGATCATGTCATCCACATACACCAGAATGAAGAAGCGGCGAGGGGAGGAGCGAAGGAAGAGACTGGCGTCAGAATGCGAGGCAGAGAAGCCAAGGGATCCCAGGGTGGCAGACAGCTTCGCGTGCCACTCCCGAGGTGCCTGCTTCAAACCGTAGACAGGTCTATGCAGCTGCCACACAGTGTTTTTGGAAAGGCGGCGTGGAACCCGGGGGGTCGCAGGAGGAAGATGCGCTCGTGCAGGTCCCCTTGCAGGATCGCGTTGGAGACGTCAATGGAGCAGATCTCCATGTCGTCGCGCGCACCAACGTCGAGGAGGGTGCGGAGGGTGGGCGGCTTGGCGGTGGGGGCGTAGGTGAACCAGTAATCTTCAGCCCAAGTCTGGGTGAACCCCTTAGCGCAATAGCGGGCCTTGTAGACCGGATCTTCGCTTGGCAGCTGCTTCACCCGAAAGACCCACTTGCCCTCGACAAGGTTGGCATCGGCCGGGAGGGGGACATCAACCAAGGAGTCGTTGCGAATGAAGGCCTCACACTCCAGGAAGATTGCCGCAATCCACCTGTCCGCATCAGGGCAGGCGATGACCTCCTTAAAGGTGGAGGGAGTGAAGATGGTGGCAAGGAAAGGAGTGTGGTGCCGAATGTTGAGGAACTCCTCATGGGAGTCCTCAAGGAGCTGAATGGAGGCGGGAGGAGGGGCTCCAAAGACCTTGTCAAGGGAGCGACTGTGCATGCGAGGGAGGAGGAAAGGGGAGGAGCGGGAAGTTGCTCGGTGGCGCTGCCGTTGCTGCTGCTGCTGCTGTATCTGCTGTTGCCCCTGCTGCTGAGTCGGCTGCTGCTGCTGCTGCTGCTGCTGCTGCTGCTGACCCGGATGCTGCTGCTGCTGCTGTCGCTGCTGGCCCGGCTGTTGCAGAGAAGGGGGGGAGTGAGAGGAGGAGGGAGAGGGGGGAGGGGGCGCAGCGGAGTGGGCCGGGGAGGCGGGTGCGGCGGGGTCATAGACGTCAGCAGAGGAGGACGGAGGGAGTGGAGCGGCAACGGGGGGGAGGAGAGGAGAGGGAGGGAGGAGAGGTGGGAGGACAGTGTCAGTCCAGGCGAGGGGGCGAGAGGGAGGAGGGAGAGGGTCAGGAGGAGGAGTGGAGTAGTAGGGGATGGACTCATCGAAGACGATGTCAATGCTGCGGATGAGGCGGTTGGTGGGAGGGTGGAGGAACACGTAGCCTGGGGAGTCGCGATTGTGCCCGAGGTAGACGCACTCAAGGGCACGGGGGGCAAGCTTGCCGGCGGCACGGGAGTGATCGGCCGGTGGGATGAGGACGAAGGACTTGCAGCCCCAAACGCGAAGGCTGGCAGCGTCAGGCTTGGCCTTAGACCAGAGTTCTGTGGGGGAAGAGGAGGGATGCTGAGGGTGGGAGCGGAGATTGAGGAGGAGGGCGGCATGGTGGAGGGCATAGCTCCAAAGGGAAGGAGGGTTGGAGGCGTGAGCAATGATGATGCAACGGGCAATTTTGGTGATTTCGCGGATGCGACTCTCAGCAATGCCATTTTGCTTAGGGGAGTGGGGAAAGGTGGAGGTTTGCTGGATGCCATGAAGTTTGCAGAAGGTGGTAAGGGTGTTGTTGATGAACTCACCCCCACCGTCAGAGTGAAGGGGGCCAATGGGGCGTTTGAAGTGATTGCGGCACTGCTCAGCCCAGTTGATGACAACAGCCGGCACCTAGTCTTTGCTGTGGAGGAAAAAGACAGTGGAGTACCGACTGTGGTCGTCAACGAGGACGAGCATGTACCGGTGCCCCTGACGGGAGCGGATGGGATAGGGACCCTAGAGATCCATGTGGACAAGGTCAATGGGGGCGGCAGCAAAGGTGGGATGGCTGTGATGGGGGGATTGCTTAAGCTTGCCATGAATGCATGATGGGCATGGGGGAGCAGGAGAGGAGGGGAGGGGAGGTAAGGTGGGAGGGAGGCTGTGAAGGAGGCGAGAGGTGACAGTGGTGCGAAGTGCGGCGAAGTTGGGATGGCCGAGTCTGTGATGCAGAATGACTACTGGGTGGGAGAGGGCAGTGGAGGAGGAGGGGGAGAGGGTGGAAGAAGAAGTGGGGAGGGAGGAGGGAAGTGAAGTAGGGGAGGGGGATACCTGAGGGGGAGGGAGAGGGGGAGGAGGACCGATGGAAGTACCAGCACGAGTGGTAACATGACAGAAAGAGGGACGGGGTGTGTGGAGCGTGTAAAGGCGAGTGCGGGGGCAAAGGGGAATGCTCAGGACAAAACGACCAGAGGAGGTTTGGTAGAGATCACAGTAATTGGCAAAGCTGGGGTAAATGGCGGTAATACCGACACCTTGGAGTTCTCGGTGAGAGAGGAGTTTGTTGCGAAGGGTAGGGATGTGGAGACCTGTGACCTTACCGGAGGGGAAAGCGGTGCAGAGGAGGGTGGAGAGGTGAGTGCATGGGATGGGGAGTCAGCACCATGAACCTGGGTGGGAAGTGGGAGGGGGGTGAGGGTGCCAGCGTCTTTGAGTGCGGTTTCTGTGGCCCCACTGTCAAGGACAAAGTCCAAGGTGGGGGAGGAAGGAGGGGGAGGTGACACGGGGTACTGGAATGACGTTTCATTGATAGCAGAGGGATACATGGAAGCGACGGATGGTGCAGCAACAACATCACCAAGGAAACTGTCCTGAGAGTCAGGGACACTCGGGGGGCCAGAGGGAATGGAACCCCAGGTGGGGGGGGCAAGGGAGGCATGAGCGACCATGGCCACTGCGCCGAAGGGCATCGGCTGCTGCTGCCACTGCGGCGGAAGGTACTGCGGCAGCTGCTGCTGCTGCTGGAAGAACTGCTGCTGTGGGGGCTGCTGCGGCTGAAAAAGCGGCGGCTGCTGCTGCTGAAGAAACTGCGGCTGCTGCTGTTGCGGGAAGTACTGCTGCTGGTGCTGCTGAAACTGTTGTAGCTGGGAGGGAGGGGAAGGGGTGAGCAGACAGAGGTGAGCGGGGAGGAAGGAGGGGAGGGTTTGAATGTCCACGAGGGAGGGGCGAGGGGTAACACTGTTCCAGCGAGGAGGGGTACCAGTGTTGCCGCGGTCGAACCAGGCGTCATCAAGCGCCTTGAAGCAGGTGGCAGGGGGGTGGTTGGTCTGACCACACGGCGTGCCGGCGTGGGGACCATGGCGGTGAACATACGTGCAGGGGGGAAGAGTCCCAGGGCGACCAGGGTGATTGGGTGCAGTCGGTTGGAGAGCCTGCGGACGGCGAAGGAGAACGTCAAGGACGCAGTAGGGTCCGACGAAGGCGTCTTGAAGGACGCGGCGAATGCTGCCGACGAACGAGTGCCAGTTGATGGCGGAGCGATCTGCAGCAAGCTGCAGCTTGTCAACCGAAGAGGCGTCGATAGGAGGGGGGAGAGGAACAGGAGGGGTGGTGGCCATGATGGGCGGCGGCGGGTGGACCCGCGGCGACCAAGGGGGAGACGACGGCGGGTGGACCCGCGGCGGTCAAGGGGGAGGCGACGGCGGGTGGACCCGCGGCGGCCAGGGGGAGGGGGAGGTGCTGCTGCTGGAGCGGGGGCACTCCGCCGGCTGCTGCTGCTGCTGGACCCCTCCGGCTGTTGCTGCTGCTGCTGTTGCTGCTGCTGCCGCTGCTGCCGCTGACGGAGCTGCTGCCGCTGCTGCTGCTGCAGCTGGGGATGCCTCGGCTGCTGCTGCTGCTGGAAGGAGAGGGGAGAGGGAGAGGCGGAGGGAGAGGGGGAGAGGGGGGAGGGGGGAGGAGGGTGCAGTCACGGGCGCGGCTGGCACGGCTGCCACTGGTGTTGCTGCTGCCGTTGCTGTCGTTGCTGCTGGGGATGCCGCTGCTGCTGCTGCTGCCGCTGCTGCTGCTGCTGCTGCTGCTGCTGCTGCTGCTGCCGCTGCTGCCGCTGCTGCGAGGAGAGGGGAGAGGGAGAGGCGGAGGGAGAGGGGGAGAGGGGGAGGGGAAGGAGGGTGCAGTCACGGACGCGGCTGGCACGGCTGCCGCTGGTGTTGCTGCTGCCGCTGCTGTCGTTGCTGCTGGGGATGCCGCTGCTGCTGCTGCTGCTGCTGCTGCTGCTGCTGCTGCTGCTGCTGCTGCTGCTGCTGCTGCTGCTGCTGCTGCTGCTGCTGCTGCTGCTGCTGCCGCTGCTGCCGCGGCTGTAGCTGCTGCCGCTGCTGCGAGGAGAGGGGAGAGGGAGAGGCGGAGGGAGAGGGGGAGAGGGGGAGGGGAAGGAGGGTGCAGTCACGGACGCGGCTGGCACGGCTGCCGCTGGTGTTGCTGCTGCCGCTGCTGTCGTTGCTGCTGGGGATGCCGCTGCTGCTGCTGCTGCCGCTGCTGCTGCTGCTGCTGCTGCTGCTGCCGCTGCTGCCGCGGCTGTAGCTGCTGCCGCTGCTGCGAGGAGAGGGGAGAGGGAGAGGCGGAGGGAGAGGGGGAGGGGAAGGAGGGTGCAGTCACGGGCGCGGCTGGCACGGCTGCCGCTGATGTCGCTGCTGCCGTTGCTGTCGCCGCTGCGGGGGAAGCCGCTGCAAAAGAGTCCAAACATTGCAATTCCTAACTCTATCCTACCCAACAAAAGAGTCCAATACCAGTGTTTTCGACGGAAAACAAAAACAATTACTGCGCGCATGGACCCAGTATTCGATAACATCCACTCCTGTTGCTGCTTTGGCTTGGCTCTGTCCTATGTGATGATGCTCCGCCCTGCACCGCAGGCACTATCGATGGAACTTGGAGATATCACATGAAAGCCAGCACCTGCTGCTTCTGCTGCTGGCGGTGTTGCTGCTGGTGCTGCTGCTGCTGGTGCTGTTGCCCCTCCTGAAGCTGCTTCTGCTGCACCATCAGTTTTCCCCTCTTGCCGAGCCACAATCCGCCTCAACGAGTTGATCTCTTCCAATGCCTCGCTCAGCCGACCAACCGCTGCCTGCCACATGGCGTCATCACCCCTCGCAACAGATATTTCCGGCAGTAATGATGCGCTGGTACGGCGTTCTATGTCAGCTAGCAGGTGCGAAGTTTCCCAGGAAAAACCCAGCGCCGGGGCTTGATCTGAGATGTTCGGAGTAGTAGCAGCAGACTTGGGCGATGGAGGCAAACTGTGCTGATGCGGTAGGTATGGGGAAGAAATGGGAGCGGGAGCACGGGCAGAACTGGGAGTTGTGGGTATCGGAGCAGCAACACCCGAGGCAGAATCTGAAGCAACAGCTGCACCAGTAGGGCCCAGAGGGGCTGTTGAAGAGGAGGCGAGAGGGGAGGGTGGAGCAGGATCAAGCGAGGGTGTTGATGCGAGAGGGGGAGGGTGCTGAGGAGGATAGCTCGAGAGCGATTGCTGGGTGAGGGTGGTGAGGGTGGTGAGGGAAGGAGATGGAGTGAAAAGGCACAGGTCCAAGTGATATGGCTCGGGCTTGACAGTGAGAGCAGCAGTACTGTGCTGCCGGTTTTGAGTTGACTCAAAACGCGTGAGGGGGGTGAGGGTGGCAGATGGAGTGGAGAAGCACAGGTCCAAGTGACAGGGCTTGGGTTGGACAGTGGGAGCGGTGCATTCCTGCCAAGCGGTAACGTGCAATGCTGGCGATAGACACAGGAGAGGAGGTGCAGTGGCAGGAGAATCTGGAAGGGGAGAAGCAGGAGCGGCAGCGGCAGCAGATGGGCGGGGGACGAGGGGGGATGAGAAAGAAGGTATCATGGCAGGCGAAGTGGGAGGAAGGGGAAGGGCAGGAGGAGGGAGTGCAGTGGAGGGAGGTGGAGGTGCAAGAGGAGGGAGGGAACACAGTGTGTTGCAAGTATGTGGAGCAGCAGTAGGTGTTCCAGCAGGCGTCGTAGCAGCAGCAACAGCAGTAGGATCAGCAGCAGCAGCAGCAGCAGCAGCAGCAGCACACCCAGGCCCACCAGTCGCACCAGCCCCACCAGGGGCACCAGGGGCGGCAGCAGAGGCATGGTTGAACCCACCATGGCCTGGGTGCCCGCTTATTCGACCCACTGCAACGCCGCGCATCCGCTTTGCCGCAGGCACAAGACACACACTCGTGCCTTCCTGGTCGAGCCTGTTGCACTTGTTGCCCTGGTCGGGTGCGTTGCCCTGCTTGCGCGCGGCATACGCATTGTGCAGGTTGTGCGCGGCGTTCCCCTGCTTGCGCACGCTCCAAAGATCGCGCACGCTTCCCAAGATGCGCGCGTTTCTCAGCCTGCGCGGGTCGCATTCGCGCGCGGCATTTCGCAAGTCGTGCGCCGCAGTGCTCTGGACCTGCTGCTGCGCCTGCTGCACCTGCTGCACCGCAGTGCTCTGGTCTGGACCTGCTGCTGCACCTGCTGCACCTGCTGCTGCACCTGCTGCGCCAGGGCAGCTTCCGGAGCGGCGCTCATTCCGCGCGCACTCGCAGCAGCCGCTGTCCCTGCGGATGCAGCCGACCCAGCCGCCTGCGCGGACCTGTCCTGATCCTGCGCGAACCCAGCCTGCGCGGACCCAGCCTGCGCGGACCCATCCTGATTCTGCGCGGGCAGTGCATTGGAGCCGCGAGAGCTGCGCGCAGAGACGGCGTTACTACTACTAGTGTTGCTTCCCCGCTGATGCCCACGAGCCTCTGCGGCGGCGGGATTATTCGCGTCAGACTCGACCGCGGCGATGGCGGCAACGCGCCGCGCATCGGATTCGCCGCTTGGGGGGTTATTACGGAAGGGCCCGCCGCGGGCTGAAGGGCCAGCGGGCGGCGCGGCTCCCCGGTCGAGACTCTGCGTAGCTTCCGCAGTGATGGCCGCCGCTGCTGCGCTAGTGGCGAAGTCGCGGACGGTTTTCCCGTTTTGCCCTGTCCGCGGAGGTTTCAGTCCGCCGCCCGCTTGCTCCCTTCCGCCGCTGCCTTCGATACAGCGGAGCCCCGCGAATCCGTGCGCCTTCGCGCGGAAGCTGGCGGAGGCGGTGGGTGGTTTTCCGCCGCGGAGGGGGGGAAGCGCGACTCGAGGCGAGCGGGGGAAGGACCCCGCGGAGAGCGGGTGGTTGTGCTCGTGGCGCGCCTCAATGCTCGTGCGGTCCGGGTGCGCCGGGTGGAAGTCGACGATCTTTCGCGCGCGACAGCACGAGCGCGAGCGCGCCCACGTGCACTTGTAATAAGCCCTGGAGGGGGGGAACGCGGCGGGGCAGAGGCGGAGGGGAGGACCCACACGCGGGGTGAGACGTGCGGAAACAGCGGGGAAGGAAGGAGGGGAAGGCGGAAGCGCAAGAGTCTCTCGAAGTGAAGATTCGCAAAAGGCGGAAAGCCCTATCAGATGTAGGAGTGTGCGCTGCGTGCAGAGGAGACACGACACCAAAGAAAGCAGTAGCTTTGGAGACGATACCATGCACAGGAGGAACAGCAATCATGTCCCTAAACAACTTAGTTATCACAAGTCTCTCTCCGCGCAAAAACGGCGAGTTTACTACAGCGAACGCGGAGGAGTCAACGCGGCACGCAAAACGGGGCTTTCACCTTTTCGACAACGTCGTAAGAGGACTCAACAAAGAAATAGGCCAAAAAAGAATGAAAAATCTATCCACTATCATTGTTAAAAGTACCTACTCACAACACACTTTTAGCATTACTGTGCGCATTGCTCTGCGCAACCTGCGGATTGCTTGAGGACATTTGAGGAATGCTAGTGCGCATTGTCTAGGGTTTAATCGAGCATTGAAATGACATTGCTAATGTCAGAATACTGAACGAGAATGAATGCATTGAACAGAAGGTTGGTAAGTACTAACCCTAATTGGGTTGTACCCCTTATGGGCTAACCCACTACAGCCTACACAATGTAAGCATTGTAACATTTTGACACACCCCCAAAGGCAAAGGAGGGGAGAACAAGTGGTCACAAACCAGTCAAGAAAAAACAAAGAAATAACAATATGTTTTGACACACCCCCATAGGTGAAGTAGGGGATAGCCAAACCTAACAGTGGTCACAAGACCAGTCAAGCAACAGAACAAGCAAGGCAAAGCCCAGGGTGGATCTCAAGGACACCACACAATCTGAGCACAAGCAGGCGGCCACAAGGCCAGTTCACATGCAGATTTATAATAGCAAGGCAGTAAACATGCAGGTATAAAGATATATATAGCAGTGTATAACGAGAGCAAGTCAAGCAACCAGCAGGTGAGGCAGAGTGGGCACAAGCCCAAGAGCAGTGCAGAAACGCTGATGATCACCAGCCCCAAGGGCCTTGGTGAAGACATCAGCAGTGTTGGCCCGAGAGGCCACGAAAGCAAGGCGCAGCTGACCACGCTGCTGCAGCTCACGCGCAAGGAAGTAGCGCAGAGCAATGTGCTTCGTTCTGTGCTCCAGTCTCTGCTCGCGACACAAGGCAAGCATTGCCTTGTTGTCGACGTACAGAATTGGAGGAGAACGAGGCCGCTTCCCCAAGTCGGTCAGCAGCTAGGTCAGCCAGTGGAGCTCCTGTGCAGCCATGGCCCCAGCGTAGATCTCGGCCTCACAACTGGAACCAAGCACAGAAGAAGAACGAGTGGACCTCCACGAGACAGAACCAGCGCCAAGACTGAAGGTGTAGCCCTGTGACGAACGCTGAGTCGCCTGGTCGTCGGCCCAAGAGGCGTCAGAGTGTCCTGTGAGGACCACCGAACCCCGTCCTCCAAGCACGAGCCCCATGCCCGATGTGCTGCACAAGTAACGCAGTACCCTCTTCGCAGCATCAAAGTGCACCTTTCGGTGCCTACCGGGTGCCACGTAGCGAGCCAGAAGGCTGAGAGGGTACGCGAGGTCAGGTCGTGTGCACGTCATCAGGTACATGAGGCAGCCCACAAGCTCTGGGTACGGACCACTCGGCTCTACGGACTCGTCCGAAGGTGGAGCTGAGAGCGAGTGGCCGGTAGCCAGAGGAGTGGGCTGTGGCGAGGAGTACGTGAAGCGGAAGCGCTGTAGGACCTGGTGCACCATGTGTGACTGAGTCAGGGTGATGGTGCGCCGTGGTCTGTCCCGGGTGATCTGCAAGCCAAGATAGCTCCGCAGCTCACCCAGGTCAGTGCAGGTGTGTCTCTCCTGCAGCTCCGCCTTCACTAGGGCCAGTGCCTCAGTGTCAGCAGTAGCAAAAACCAAGTCGTCGACGTACACGAGGATGTAGAACGGCGGCAGAGTAGTGTCGGTGCGTAGAAACAGCGACGGGTCAGCAGTCGAAGGAGCAAACCCAAGAGCCGCAAGTGTCGTCCTCAGTGTGTCGTGCCACTCGCGGGGCGCCTGACGCAAGCCGTACACTGGTCGCCGTAGGCTCCACTGGGTACCCTCAGGAAACGACCCAGTGAAGCCCTGTGGACGGCGCAACCAGATGGCCTCGTGAAGGCTACCCTGCAAGAAAGCTGTCGAGAAGTCGAGGGAGTGCAGCTCGTAGTCACGCTGAGCTGCAACGTGTAGCAACACCCGAAGAGTGGTCATCTTCGGGGTGGGAGAGAAGGTCTGAAAGAAGTCGACCCCCTCACGCTGACTGAAGCCTCGAGCAACGTAACGTGCCTTGAAGGCAGGTGGAGAACCCGGCGGCCGCTTCACCCTGAAAATCCACATGCCACTGACGATGTTCGCCCCAGGTGGGGGAACCTCGTCGACGTAGGTGCCTGTGGACTTCCAGGAAGCCATCTCTGCGTCCATGGCTGTCTGCCACTGAGAAGAGTACTCACCCGAAATCGCCTCCCTGTAGGAGCGCGGGGTGGGGATGTCAAGTGCATCCGGGTCTCCCTCAGGGGCAAGCAGCATGGTCGCGTGATGGGGTGAAGCGGCAGCAAGGCACTCCAGCTCCTCCTGTCTGTCCTCAAGAACGTCACAGCCAAGGGCAGTGCAGCCAAGAGCAGTCTCACCCCCGACGGACGGAGGACAGGCAGGGACAGGGTCAGAGACAAGACTCGCAAGGTAGTCGAGGCGGTACACAGCAGCAAAGTTAACGAGCTCAGCTACTAGGGCAGACGCAGCAGGAGACGAGAACGTAGGGTCCGTCACAACCGTAGCAAGAAGGCGAGTAACAGTCGGACTGGACGCACGAGCAAGGTCAGACGGAGGGTCAGCAACGTCAGGCAAAGAGGACGCTGGAGGTAACGGTAGGACAACACGCTGAGGAACAGAGGAAGGACGGAGTGTCATATCGTGAGTGCCGGGGACAGCCGGAGCACGCTGACGTCGAACACGAGGAACACGAGCACGGACAGCAGCTCTAGGCTCAGGCTCAAGGTCAAAGCTAGACTCAGGCTCTCGACGCTCAGGGGTGGAAGCACGAGTCTCAGGCTCTCGACGCTCAGTCAGGGACTCTGACACCGCAGTGTAAGGAGCAGGAGCAGGCAGTGGGGAGTGTGGTAGCAGCGGCGGCTGTGACTGGTCCGCCGGTGGACACAGCAACGGAGGAGTAGTACCTGCCACAGGGAAGCCAGTAGCACCTGGCTGAAGACTGAGAAGGTGGCGAAGAGCACCAGTAGCTCCACCAGGACCTCCAGCACCTCCAGGACCTCCAGTCCCAGCAGCTCCAGCTCCTCCAGCACCAGCAGCTCCAGCAGCTCCACGACCTCCAGCACCAGCAGTACCTCCAGTACCTCCAGCACCAGCAGCTCCACGACCTCCAGCACCAGCAGCACCTCCAGTACCTCCAGCACCAGCAGCTCCACCAGGACCAGCAGCACCTGCAGCTCCCCGACCTCCAGCACCAGCAGCACCTCCAGTACCTCCAGCACCTCCAGGACCTCCAGCACCAGCAGCACCTCCAGGACCTCCAGCACCAGCAGTACCTCCAGTACCTCCCGCACCAGTAGCTCCAGGTCCTCCGGTGGGAGCTCCGACGACACCAACACCAGAAGGACTCGCAGCACCCCCAGAGTCAGCACCCGAACTCGTAGTACCCCCAGAGGCAGGACCCTCGGTCTCAGCACTCGCAGGCTCAGTACCCTCAGTCGCAGCACCCTCAGGTCGAGTACCCTCAGTCCCAGCACCCCCAGGCTCAGTACCCTCAGTCCCAGCACCCCCAGGCTCAGTACCCTCAGTCCCAGCACCCCCAGGCTCAGTACCCTCAGTCTCTGCTCCAGTGTCCACAGCAGCAGGCTGCAGAGGCGGCGAAGACGGCAGAGGTGGGAACCCGGGGGGTGTAGCCAGACAAGGAGAGCGGGCACCCCCGGACTCACCACCCCCAGCCCCAGCTCCAGTAGTCTCAGCTCCAGAGTCCACAGCAGCAGGCTGCGGAGGCGGCGAAGACGGCCGTGGCGGGAAACCCGGGGGGGTCTCCAAGCGAGGAGTGCGGCGAGTGGTCGCCGTGTCGTCGGCGACGGCGTCACCCCCCTCAGGTGAGTCAGAGGAGTCAGAAGAGATCTCAACTGGCTCATCCAAGGGGGGTGGGTCTACCTGGGACACACCTGAGGGAGCAGGACCCTGTGGGGGAAGGGGGTCTACCGGGGGGGGGACTGGTACCAGGAAGAGAGGCGCGAGAGGGACCGGGTGGGACGCGTGCGGGTGAAGTCGGTAGTAGCAGACCGACTCCTCGAAGGTGACGTCCTGAGAGGACAGAACACGACGCGAGGCAGGGTGGTAGAACTGCCAGGGTGGAGCGTCGGTGGGGAAGCCGAGGAAGACACAGCGGAGAGTGCGAGGGGAGAGCTTGCTCGCTTTGGTATCGCGAACAAGGGAGAGCGCGCCCCAGACCCGAAACGACGACGCATCACCAGGCTGTCCCGTCCAACGGAGTGTGGGCGAGGTCTCTGGAGCAGAGACACGGGGCCAGAGGTTGAGCTGATGCGCGGCGTATCGGACCGCAAACGGCCAAAGGAAATGGGGAGCAGTCGCATGGATCATGGAGGTACGAGCAACCTCCATGATCAGGCCAATGCGACGCTCAGCGATCCCATTTTGCTGCGGAGAGGCCGGAAGCGTGAATGACTGGGCGATGCCCTTATCCTGGCAGAACGTCTCAAGGACGCCAGAGGAGAACTCACCACCCCTGTCAGAGTGCAGACGCAGGACTGGAAAGTCCCGCCGAAACCGCTCGCGCAGCTGGTGACGAATAGCACGGATCCAGGGGATCAAGACACCACTGACATCCGCCTTGCGCCGCAAGGGGAAGACTGTGGTGTAGCGTGTGTAGTCGTCAACCACCAGCAGGAAGTAGCGCTCCTGGTCCGTTCCACCGACGGGGGCCGGGCCCCACACGTCCATGTGGAGAGTCTGCAGAGGAGCAGTGGTCGGAGGAAACTCGGAGGAGTGAGGAGCCGCGCGCTGCCGCCCCTCGACGCAAGGAAGGCACGGCCGCGCAAGTGAGCGCGGGAGGGGGGGCAGGGTCTCAGGGAGGCCAGTGACCAGGAGCCGGGAGTGCATGCGGCGTAGACGCT